GATAACAGTCTGAGCCACTGCTGGAACTTGCAAGAAAAATAACAAATAAATCCCACAAGATAGGTGTGGAAAGAGATGTGCAAACAGAGACCAGAGAGAGCAATGATAAGAGATTGGATTGGTTAGTGTGGGAACCAGTTAGCACAGGCAGGTTACAAGGGGGGCCCACACATGTGGGCTAGATAATACACAGATCAGAATCACCTGGAACATGCTTTAGATTGAAGATCAATGGTTACCCCTGGGAATCTATGTTCCATAGGTAGGACTAGGTTTTCCTGTAATTCCTAGGCACACCCAGGTGGTTCTGAACAATCCTCACAGTATGGGAGTTATTGGATTCATCTTTGGGTGTCGGGAATGACTGGAGGCGCCTCCAATGTGGTCAGGCCCAAAGTCCACTTAGAGCAAGTGAGAAGCAGAAAGAACTAGGGCACAGACACATAGTGGTAGATGCAGTGAAAAGGCAGTTTATTGTCTATTAATACTGTACAGAGGAACAGAGAGAAGCTACGATTATAGCATCAGATGTCGCTGGCAGTGATTTTTTTTCTGAAGTTGAATTTTGTTTTGTTTTGTTTTGTTTTCATCAGAAGGAAACAGAACAGTCAAAGTACACTTCAGGTTACAAAGAACAGCAGCTAAGCCCAGCAAGTCTAAATCAGAGTAAGCACAATAGGCACCCAGCCCCCCCACCCACTGACCAACCACAAATGGATGTATATACAGACATGTTGCTCACCCTAACAGAGCAGCTAAAGCTGAAAATCCCGTCAACAACCTACATTCAACTGAAAAGCTGCATCAAACACAACATTTTCTGAAATCCTTGTTAAGATTTTTGTCTCTCCTAAGTCAGGAGTTTGGAAGGAAGAAAGAATGTTCCAGAACCCTACAAAGGACAGAACTCTTCTTCCCACTTGTCAGAATAGGATATCATGAAATTCAGTGGAGCTACATGCAGAACGGTTCAGATCAGACAGTGCCTGGTGACCTCTGACCTCTTTATATAGATACTTGTCACTGCAAACCCAAGTGATGTCACCCTGCTCACCCAATCTGGAAGCCAGGAGGTTTCCTTGGTAACAAGAGTATCTGGCTTTCCCTCAGCACCAGGCAGCATCTTCAGGCAATTGCATAGTTCTTTTTGCTTTTTGCAGCTGTCTCCGTGGCTGTGAGGTTCACACATGGGCTTGAGTTAGACTTGTTTTAGGGGGCAGGGTGTGGATTCTGGTGATGAAGATTTTAAAATTATTTGCCCAGGAACTACAGGGATATTTTTATTGAAATAGAAATATTTATGACCTTGCCTTGCTGGGCAAAGGATCTTGGTCTCTTGGGGCAGGGAAGAATGCTCTCTGGGAAGGGAATCAAACAGGACTGGTGGGAAGATGTTGAGGGTTAACTAGTTCTGTCAACTGGATACAGGAACAGGCATGGATGCAGAGATTCAGCAAAAACAAGTATGATAAATGGGGACTCTTAAATTTGGCATAAAATTGGGCAAAAGATTCAAGAACTCTACAAATTCACAAGTCCATCTATTTGGATGAAGATAAAATTCTTTCTAGTCTCTATGGATCTCTGCAAGCATGATGCAACCTCAGCAATGGATACAAGGTCAATGAGTTGAGTTTGATGTTGTTTATATTTCTGTATAGGCTATAGATCAGGCACAGACAACCTGCAGCTCATATACTGCAAGCATCCCAGACAGTGAATGACCAAAATGTTTTATATGACACCATCATGCTATAGTGTCAAAAGGCTGGACACCCCTGCCAGAGTAGATGGTTATAGACTTCCAACTCATCATCTCATATATCAAATATCATATATGTAAATGTACCATAGGGAATGGTCCCTTAACCATAAAAGGAACAATCACTTCTTGAGCCTGTGGAAGAACTGGACTACTAGGTTTCTCTTGCAGAGAAAAACGTCATCTCTTTCCCAAAGGCATTTATGTATTAATGGTGTGGTCCAAAGGGCCATCAACTAACCAATCTAATGGGCTAAGCACAAAAAGCTCGATCTTACAGCACACACATGTTGGAAACCTTGGATTTCATGCAGAGGCAGTATAAGGCTGAGTCACAAGATCTGGGTTAGTGCTATAGAATTCACCAGAAAGAAACCATAAGGGAATGGAGAAATAATTCAATCGAGGGTGTTTTCAAACTCAAGCTCCATAACACATATAGATTTCACTATAAAAATATTAATCTTTAAAAAAATACATAAATGTAAACAATCCATTTCTATAGTGACTCCTTACCCCCACCCATATCAAGCTCATTTTAGACTACAGTAAATACACGCCTTCAAGGGTGGCCCCATAGACGTCTATCTCTCTCGATTTTTCAAGCTAGTCCAATTGTGCTTACAACTGTGCTCCTGGACCCGGGTAGGGGGGCCTAAGAAGGTCTCTCACAGCAGGGAGTCCAGTGAGGAAGTCAATATAAGAGGGCATGGGCTCCCCATGACCTGGCCCTGGAATGTAGAGTGATTCTGCAGGCTCAGATGGGAGCCAGAAGCACATTCAGTTAGTAGAAGGGGAGCAGTAAGGCCCAGGCTCTGCCTAGTTAACCCCTCTGTCCCTCTAGTTAACCCCTCAGGTTCTGCCTGAAGCTCCTGTGATGAAATTCATAGCTCTGGGTTGGAGTGGGGAAGAGAATGTTGTGTTAATACAGCTTTGGAGTACACCCTTTGATGTTTGTTTGTTTTTTAAACAGGACAGAAAAGGAGAACACGAACAGCAGTGCTAAGGCAAATATCCAATGGCACATCAGAACTTTTTTTTTTTTGTCCTTCAATGTGTTGACATCACAAGGCAGATACATTCTGTAAACATATATGCTATACAGTACATTAACCATATACGGAAAGGAAACGAAAGCCACCCTGTAAGTCTTTTCTTTCTGGGACTCTGTTCTTTCAAGTCAGACACAGTTGCTGGGAGTCTAGGGAGAATTTTATGGTTGGTGAGAGAGATGCTTTTCTTTGGATTAAAAAAAACAATGTAGTGACTTGAAAAAAAAAGCACCCCAGGTGACCATTTAGAGGATTTAGAGGCAGAAGGGGGAGAAATGACCATTCACACCTCAGCCTGTAGAAACTTAGAAATAGTCACAAAATATAAAAAAGTCATTGACAACAGGAGACATTTTGTGTTCCTGCTTAGTAAGAGAAAACAGTGAAAAATTATTGTTATTATTGTTATTATCATCATTATTATTACTACAAAGTTAAGGCCATCCAGATCTTTGATGCAGAAAGTCTGTGGTCCCTCAGTTATGTGTTTTCACATTGACAGCTAGGTGTTTGTGTGGCAGTTCTGACCCTCTGGTGTTATACTGGAGGGGGGAAGGGAATCGTAGGCCTCTTAAAAATGTATAAGAATGAAGTTGAGGGGCTAGCCTGAGGATCACCAGTGCAATTTTCTTTTAAACATTTCAGGATGTAATCTTTATAGCCCTCTGCATCCAAACAAGCAGCATTGGGGTTTTAGTGAAGTAGGATTTGAGAAATTTGCTGAAGCTTCCCTATAAGATGCAGGTAGGTTTTCCTGGTAAGTATTAAAGAAGGCTAGGCTATGAAGATGAACCATCAGCAAGAACCTATGTACCAATAACGCCAAAGCCCCTGCAGTGTTCACTAACCCAGTAGAACAAAGGATGCTTTCCCAGTCTCTCCTAATCAATATACCTTGATTAAGAAACCATGGATTTTCAAATAATTGCATATTTATAAAGTTTTTGAAACCTATCTCTTTAAAAATGCTGGGAATTTATGGATTCAGTTATAAATGTAGGTATTACAAAAATACAATATGAAACTGTTCACCTTGGAATGGTTTTAACTGTAAACTGACACTATAGGAGACGAGGGTGTATCTACCAGGGAAGGGCACACTAGTGAGTTCAACTCTCCAATGGGTCAGCCACCAAGAGAGGTAACCCAGTGTCTAGGTTTTTAGTAAGAACAATGCCAACAAAATATGTCCCCAGAGTACATTCTGTCTACCTTCATCTATGTTTTAGATGGACAGGGTCAGTGTTCACTAAGAAGGTAGGCCAGGGCAAGTACTTTGACATTTTGCCTCTATCACCTGCTCTGTCCTCTGCTTTTCTGATACCCATTGGTTTGGGCATTAAGTAATTTATAGTTTTTAAGAGTGTTCTGTGGTTCCTGGAAAGAAACTTCTTCAGGAAGTAAAGGATTTTGACTCCAGAGTTTTGCCCCAGAGATGATACTGTATCCCTTGGAAGCTCTTTATATACACATTTCTTTTTATAAAATCTCAATACAGAAGGAAATTTTTGGCCCTTTCCTGGACACTACCAATGATGAGTGGAATCATTGGACACTAGCCAGTCATCTTAGAAGCAATTTGGTTTCTGTTGTTATATAAGGAAAATAACACCATTATGGGTAAAAGGTTAAAAAAGAATCCCCTAAGGAAAAAAAATGTCAAGAACATTCAAGTCATGAAGATTCTTTAGATATGTAGGGCTAGACTTGACCATTGTAACTTTCAAATAATCTAATTAAATACCATTGAAATAAAAATAAATACCCATTTCTTCCTTTTTTTCTCTCCTTTATTAAAAAGAAACTGATTGTACAATATATATATATATATATATATGTATATATATAATGCACACACATATATGTGTGTATCTGTACATTTTTGTCTTGCCTTTATTGTTGTTTTGTTTTTTTGCTTTTTAGGTGGAGTCTCACTATGTAACCCTGGTTAGTCTGGAAAAACTATAAAGACCAGGCTGGCCTCAGACTCACAGGGATCTGCCTGCCCCTGCCTCTCTAATGCTGGGATGAAAGATGCTCCACTAGGCAGGTGGAAATTTTAATGAACAGCCTAACATTAGCTCAAAACAAGATAGTGGTTTTGCAGCTTCATCATGGATTCTTTATGCAACCACATACCTTGCTTCTAGAAGGAGAGAGAGAGAGAGAGAGAGAGAGAGAGAGAGAGAGAGAGAGAGAGAGAGAGAGACACTCAGACAGAGACACACAGACAGAGACAGAGACAGAGACTTTCAATAGTCACGGAAAGGCAGAGTCACAATGACAATCCTGCTTAAACTTTCATCATCAAGGCCATAACTTGATCCTGTAGGTAGGCTGATCGAGGATTTACTGAACCTGAATCCCCAACAAAGACTGGAATAGTGTGCAAACATCAGCCATATTCAAACATACTTTCATTTACAGTAGCCACAAATAATTTTAATAAGGGCAATATGTCTTACTTCAATTAAATGATATTCTTTAATAATAAAACTTTAGAGCAAATCCTAATTCAAAGTTTGCCAGTCACTTGCTCATAATAATGATGACCAACAGATGAGGGCAGGTTTTCCTTGGTCCTTGAGATCTTATGACGAGTGGGAGGTACAGACTGTTGTCCTCATAGGTAAGTAGTCATCTTAAGGAGGGCGGGGGGATGTGTCCCTAGAAGCTCCAGACATCAAGCCCAGGGTGATCTGAGCTCTGCCACCCACTCCCTCACTGTGCTTTTGAAACCTCACATTGAGCAGTCTAAATCCCCAAGACAGTAAAAGAGATAGACGAAGTAAACTTTTAGATTGCGTACTTCCCAAATGAACTCTCAAAATGACAGATTGTCTAAAACCATGGGAACTAGTTTCTCCTTCTGTGGAAATGGGTTTATCCTTTGAGGTTTTTTTCAAGGATTGTGTGCTATTTTAACCACCTGTGGAGGAAAATGAAGCTGACAGCAATAAGGGCTGCTGGCACTGGAACCAGGTTTCCACGTGAAGTCCAGACCTAGTGATAATTCCCCAGATCTCTCAAGGAGACCACAGAGGGGACAATCTGAGAAATGTAGTTCACCTCTTTGCTATTTCTTTATTTAATTTTTCTTGCTAACATATTAAAGATGACTCACATACTCAATAAAAATGATACTACTTGAGATAAAATAACAGAAATAAAATGTCATTTCCCTCTAATTGTAATAAATATAACTTTAAGCCAAGAAATGAACAAAATAACAGATTTATCTTCAAACAAGCTAAATGGGATGAATTTAGTTGGCTCTTTACTGCAATTCCTCAGGCTTCCTCATTATTATTTTTTTTTTCTGAGCTTCCTTTCAGATATGTTGAGACTTGATGTAGGAGGTCAAGCATATGGTTTTTGAGACTATATTCCATGGGAATATACATGATTCTGGTATTGATTTGTGATGATATTTTGAATGTCAGGGTAAACAAAGTTATCTTTCATCAAAATCAGTTAACACATCACCACTTCATTTTATTCCTGTATTAGGGCTCTTTTTCTAAATTCCTTCCCTTTGGTTTCACTAATCATGTGGATGTCCAGGTTGGGGCCATTCTAACAATGTATTTCAAGGGTTGTTCATCATGTTTTAGGTTAAAAAAATTCCTCAATATTCTAGAATTCCCAGAAATTGAAGAAAGGAAGCCTTAAGAAGCCCAGGGAATGTGACAATCAGACCATGTGGAAATATTTATGATCTTTCTTTGTCTTTCAATGCTTTTCACATTGAAAAACCTTTGTCTGTCTATTTGATTTTTGTTGAGATGTGGTATCTCTGTGTAGCCCTGGCTATCCTGGAACTCACTCTGTAGAACAGGCTGGCCTTGAACTCACAGAGATCCACCTCATGTACCACCACTGCCCAATTTTTTTTTTTTTAAGAGTGGAGAAAACTATACATTGAGGTTACCCAAAACATCCTCTTACCCATGGGAATATGAAAACAAAATAAAAAGTAAAAAAAAGAAAAAAGCACAGATGTGAGACTAATCAGCTGGGCATGGGAAATGGACAGCTAATGCTTACAGCACCATCCTGGATTCAGTAGGGGTGTAATGACAGCCCCTATAGGTCAGAAAGACTGTTTTAAGAAATATGGTCACTGCAGAGAGACTTCTCAAAATGATCCACTTTTTGAAAATAGCTGAATTCAATCAGAAGATACCCATGAGAAAGAAAACAATATAAAAATTTACATTTTGGGAGAGCTTGGAAACAAGGCTTATGGGTTGGCGAGCACTACAGATGCTGAAAACAATGGTGGCCTGAGGTCCTTAGAAAGTCCTGTAGAAAGGGTTCATTGGGTAAGCCATAGAAAGAGAAAGCTGCTGACTGGCAGGTGATAGATGCGTCAGTCCCTACACTTTAGCTGGGCCAGGCGCTGGGTTCTTTGCTTTCCAGTCAACTTCGTATCCGTTTTAACAGAAGGAAAGTACAATACTGTAATTTGGAAGCGTATGTAAGGCAGCAAAGAAAACGTGTCACCCTAGAACAGCCAGGTTAAGATAGGTCCACTTTCGACTATGCTAGCAACCGGCTAGAGCTCACAGCATTTTGCTACACAAGATATATATAAAAAAAAAAACAAAGACCCACACAGCAAAAGAGGCAGGCGAGAAGCCAGGGGCATGGCAGTGTGTATGTTCTGTGTATGCGTGTCTATGTTAGAGGAACACACGCCAAAATGAAAACCCCCGGTGCCAACAACGGGTGTGAGTCCAGTCAAGTCAATTAAGGCTACTAGATAACCAGTTGCTATGAAGAGTCCACTCCAATCGAGCAGTACGGCACTGATTCACTCTTGAAGACACAAGGAAAGGTTTAGAGGAAAAAGTAAGTTCTTGGGGAGAAAAAAAAATGAAGCACACACATGCACGTTGTTTCCCAAGTGAGAAGGAAAGATGTGAGTGAGAGATCAAAGCAAATCCAACTGCGAGGCAAGGCAGGTGTTTGCTTCCAGTTCACAGTATCGCTGTTAGTGGTACAGTGAGGTCTATTTAAGAGGTGGAGAGTAGAGAGGCTGCCCGGAAGAAAGGGGAGGAGAAAGAAGTGGTCACATGACAACACAGCATTGACAGCGCTTTTTCTTTTGGGTACCTGGGGCCGGTTCTGTGGCCAGGCTCTCTTCCTTGCCTTCTGGGGATGAGGGTTCTGTGGTGTCTGACACGGGTCTCCCGGACACCAGCTCAGCTGCATTTCCATCGATCGTGGACACGTCCGTCACTGTCTTCTCTCTTAGCGACTTCTCATCGTCTTCATCGATTAGGACTAGTTCGGCCTTGATGGTTTCGTCATAGCCTAGCACCTTTTTAGTCTCCTCTTCATCTTCAATGTTTTGGTAGCCCATAAAAATCATGGTGACGGGTTGATCCAGGTTTGCCTCTGGCCCTTCCGTGCTGGAGGGCTGGGCCTGCTGCCCGGGGTTTCCCGAAGCGTGATCTTTCCTAGATTTTTGTACCATTTCTAACTTGGCTTCTTTGCAGAGCATGTGTTCCTTGGGATGGCCCAGGCTCCCATCTGCAACAACAGTCCTTTCAGACATGTGTCCCCTGAAGCTCGATTGTCCAGCCTTCTGAATTAGTTCTTCCACATCCTTTGCGCTTAATTTGTGGAAGCCATTTTCTACCACAGTGCCTCCTGAGTGCACCTCATACACTACTTTGGTACCATCATCATAGACTTTGACTCCTCTCTGATGGACCCCCTCTGGGCCAATGGTGGATGCAGAGAGAATCTTGGTCTCTCCTGTCTGTTTGTCTTTCTCCACATTAATTTCCATGGCGTATATAGCTTGAATGAAAACAAGAGAAAGGAAGTGCATGTTACAACAAAAAAAAGCCAGTGAATGGTTAATTGCCAAACAGACAGAAAAAAAAGTGGTCTGTGCCCTTTCTATTGTAACCATCAAGCATCCTGAGTGTTAGCATGTAGTGGGCAGTGTGGACAGAGGCGGTTGCGTGTGTTCTTCACACAGCAGCTTAATGCACTGGGAAGACAGATGCAAATAGTCACCACATCTTAATGGACCCAGACTTTTTAAGAGACCAGCTAAAATAAGAGACTTCGGATCTAACAGGGCAGAGTGATGGGAAGGCCAGAAACATGCAAGTGATCTTGACTGAGATCTGCCTAGGCTTATAGACAATGTCAAAGAGGCGCCTACCTTCCAGAAACTTAGTCATTTTTTCCAACTCTTTCATCAAATATGTGCCTATTTTTTTCCTCTACATTTTCTTGGGCCTGTTAATGGAGAAGGTGCCAAGTGTTTTGCAGGCAGGACGTAGCTGTCCTCCCCTACACTACAATTAGTTATTCTGCAGACACTGAAAGAATAGGAAAGCATACTCTGAGAGTAACCCAGTCATTGTCTGACCTCCAGCTGAAGCATAAAGTTACTGTATGACAACCCCAGGACAAACCCTTTGTAGGGAAGAAAGCATCTTTCAAATGCCTCAGCGACCACAGCAGCATATGGAATTCATATAGTCATTATAAAGGATTATTTTCATATCACATGTGAGGGAGAACAGCTGTGTCACTAAGCAAAAACAGAACCAGTGAGAGGACAGGTGGTCATGACATCTGTAACATAGGAACAGAGGATGGTGCCCTCAAAGGCCCTCTGTCCTCTCTCTCTCTCTCTCCCTCTGTTTTTCAACACAGGTTTTCTCTGTGTAACTCCGGTTGTCCTGGAACTCACTCTGTAGACCAGGCTGGCCTCAAACTACCTGCCTCTGCCCCCCTGAGTGCTGGGATTAAAGGCTCTCTCCACCAGCATTCTGTCCTCTCTTTTCCGAATAGTGTTAAGGCTCATGATTCTGTCCCATTGTATTTTCCCTCCCGTTGTCTTGTTTTTTGCTGTTCTGCTCCATGTTGTGATGGATGCTCACGGCCACGATACTCTTCTTTCCTTTTGCCTAGGCTAAGAAGAGTGTCACCCAAGGCACCAGACTCTCCAACCATCTCACATCCTGATGCTTATGTACCAGCTCTCCCCTGTCCTATAGCCTCTTGGGACACCCAACATTTGTGTCCATTCCCTCAGAGGCTCCCTGTGAAACACACGTTGTGGATGGAATGGGGTAGCAGGCCCACAGAGCCACCTGGCTGCAGGCACCCTTTACCTAGATGGTACCCAGATACGCTGGGCTCAGCAGCTTCAAAACCATTACAGCCTCTTCTCTCAACTCGTCCCTCATCTTGGTATGGTGACACTAGTACTACAGTTTCGATGCTTAGTCTGTAAGCCAGAAGCCTTGAATCATGTCTGATTCATCCCTTCTTTCTACTCTCCCACATCCAGTCACTGAGGGGATCTGCTTCAGGTTTTCCCATCCATCCCCTCATCATTATCTCTTTCCACAAGCCTCAGTCCAGACCCACTCAAGTCCCGAGGACTACACATATAGACGGGGCCAAAGGCAGGCCGGGGCCTGTTTTCTTTCATATGGCCAGGAGGAAGAATGGTTTCCTATACTTTTAAAAAGGTTGTATAAAAAGAAGGAAGTCATTTGGGAGATGGAGACAAGAGAATTTGGGATTCAAGGTCACTCTCCAATACACAGTGAGTTTGAGGCCAGCATGGGCTATCTGAGAACCTGTCTCAAAAAGAAAAAAGGAAAGAAGGAATGAAGGAGACAGAAGAAAGAGGAAAGAAAAGAGGAAGGGAAGAGAGGGATAGGAGGGGAAAGGAAGGGAATGGAGAGAGGAGAAAGTAAGAAGGAAAATGAGAAGAAAGAGATGGAGGGAAAGAAGGGGGAGTAGAAAGAGACAAAGGGAGGGTAGGAGAGAGAGAGGAAAGACAGGGGATTGCTAACATAGACTATGTGGTTTACAGAGTCTGAAATCTTTAGGAGCAGGCTGTGTATTGGCGAAGTCTGCTGAGCCTGTAGCCATGCTCCGCTTGCCTGAGTTACACTTCTCAGACACCTGTTCTTGTCTGTGGGTTAAGCACCAGCTCCCTGGCTTAGCTACAGCTCCTGTCAGAATATGTCCCCATCCTTCCTTCCTCCTCACCTCACAGTCCATACACAAACCCTCACAATATGTTCAGGCCACTGCCCAGACTATCCTGGGCCTGTGGTCCTGCTGCCTAACCTGCTTTTCACAGCTTTCCAAAAATCTAGAATCTCACATACCCACTCGCCCATGCCTGAACCCCTGCCCTTTTCAGAATATCTGTAATCTGTTAAGGAGATCCTACTTGGGCTGGAGAGATGATTCAGCAGTTAGGAGCACTGGCAGTTCTTCCAGAGGAAGAAGTTCAATTCCTAGCAACCACATGGTGGCTCACAACCATCTATAATGAGATCTAGCACCCTCCTCTGGCCTGTAGGCAGACATGCAGACAGAACACTGTATACACAATAAATAAATCTTAAAAAAAAAAAACTAAAAAAAAAGATCCTAGTTGCTTTTTCAGCTGTCAAATACTCTCTCTCCTTTCCCTTCACATAGAACCAAATCACACCATCCCATATCTAAATAGTTTCTGATTTTAAGATTCTCCCCTGCAAAATTCTTCATGCTTTCTACACATCCATCTACAACACAGTTGTCAATGTCTTCTCCAGGATGCTTTCTTTGAACCTCCCATCTCTAAGTCATCCCTTTCTTCTTAAGACTCCCCAAAGACTTTCTAAATGTCTCTGGGGACGCTGAAGAATTTCTGTCTGGTGGTGCATTTGTATAGTCCAGGGTGGCTCTGAACTGCAAACTTTCCCAAGTGCTGAGACTATAGTGTGTACCACTGCTGGTATTTGTAGGGATGATTTATCAGATCCATAGATATTTTTCAGATCCTTGCCTACCGTGTGATCTTCCGTGGCCAGCACCTGCTGATATACACATTTGTCAAACAAACATAACTAAGTGGTCTTCACCTGGCACAAATACTTTGTATAATAGGACACCAAAGAAAGGCTCACAATTAATGCCTGTAACAGTTTAAGAAATCAGCAACAACACCGTTCCAGTTGCTTGCATGATAAGATATAGTCTGTTCAAGGTAGACACTGAGCTAAAATGATTCAGAAAAAAAAAATCCAATGCCTATTATCCACATTATCCATTTTGAACAGTTCAGTTGCTTGACATATAGATTATGATTTTTTTCAAGTGACACTATGGGAGGCCGACCATTATTTGTCACAGAGGTTCATGGGTTCACACACAAAGACTGTGATATAAAAAATGGTATTTATCTCAGTGATTTCCTGGTTTTCCGTACAGCATGTGATCAGAAAAACAAAATGGGTATTTACAATTTTACATGGACTCCAAAGCTTGTTTTTAAAATATTACAATTGAATTAAAAATTCAGATTTGGATTAAAAT